AAAATACTTTTCCAAATTCTTTTAATAAGAAAAGTAACAAGCAGGGGTTGCTGCCACTCCCTCTATAATAACCATATCTTATTTATGAGGAAAGAGAATCATATGGTCCTGTCATTTGGGTACACAATTCCCTATCAGGAAATATAAAAGAAATTTAGCCGCAATGAAAATTACTGCATATAAGAACCGTTATAATTAATGTTTTACATTGATCCTCCTTGGAGATTGGGAGGAACCAGAGAAGTTCCTAGTTTCACGTCTGATAAATGGTGTATACTATTGCATAACTGTGCAGCCAGGAGTGTATGATTTCCAACTTGGGTAGACATAGCTGCACTCTTTCATCAAGCTTGCACGCTAAAAATATAAGTGTAGCCACAGTGGCTTGGGCTTGCTGCCCCATGTTCAGTTTCGCCCAACCCCCTCCTACCCCCAGCCCCAGTATGTATTCAAGCACCTAGTCCCTGCTGCTGCCCATGCAGGCACACTTATGCTGCTATTTTAGCACACTAGCTCAGTCAAAGCTAGCTGGCTGCAATGTGGGCATAGCCACAGTGTGCTGAGGCACTGCTAAGCCTTTAATGTTGCAACAGACATTTTGGGGAAAGAGGGGAACAGGTTCTTCACTTGAGCATTAGACAAAAGATAGAATATTATGCAGTCCATAAAGAGGGAAGACCGATGAGTTTTCACGAAGTATATGGCTGTATCGCATGCTACAACAGGGCATATTAATGGTCGTTATCTTTTTTCCTCAGAAACTTTGTTCACACAGGACATAGGTCACAGCAGTTGCTGAATTTAACTAGGTAAATATTTAACAGTTTTTAAAATGCCTGAACACAATAAAGGAACCACTCTCTACCTCTTTTTGACATGAAAACATCTATATACAAGCTACACTTTATGAAAACTCATCAGTCTTCCCTCCTTATGGATCAGTCATTCTGCTGGATTTGATGGTCTTAAACAGTATATTTGACCTACATAGTCAAGGAAGTTTGTGCCATGCAGAAGCAATAAATCAAATCACAGAATGAAATGATTTAAGCAAAAGTGGCTGGCTTGAAAGATTTCAAGAAGTCTTTTTGACCCCTTCATCTTAGAACACATGCTTCAGAGCCATGGATTCAAAGTCTTTTATGGCTTATCATTATATAATCTCTTGCTATGATAATTATAACAGGAATTTCTGGGCTATATTTTGTGCTGAAGTAAAATATTATAACCATTTATGCTGTTGTTTCACAGTGTAGCACCATAATGCAGCTCTGTAGTTAATAACATAGCTCTGTATTGCCAGGCTACATATAATGACTTATTGTACCAGTCCGGATTGGGAGTCAGAAAGCACAAATTAATTTTCCTGACTGACGGGATAGAAATTTAATCTCAGCAGTCTAAATTCTAGATGTTAATTCGTTCGGATGAGATCAAAATTATACTTGTAATCTAGCTGCGCTCTCAGGTTGGAATATTTTGGTTTGTTTTTGATAGACAATGCGAAAATGCAAAATCAATGCAAGTTCAAAGACAATAAAAGGGTTTGTTAAAACCGTTTAAAATAATACATTAATACTGCAGGTTATGGTATTTCAACATTGTAGACAGAAAGCTAGATATGTCAGGGAAAACTAAAGAGCTAAAACTTGCATTTCTTGCAAAATTAGTAGGCTAAAAAAAGAAACTAGTATTTTTTTTAATGGAGGAGAGGCCTAGGGGAAAAGACTTTAGCAAATCCAACTATTTGAAGATTCTTTCTAAATAGGAAGCTGAGCTACCATTAAAAACAAAAGAAAATAAATATTTATTTTAGATTCTTTATATAGAAAACTTGTTATGAGATTTAATAAGCAGTGCACATCAGAGGTTGGAGATATAATCATCTTCTGTTGAACTGGCTTTTGAATTAGAAAGAGAGTCCAGACTAGATAGACAGAATGTCCTGGGGTATGAGTCAGTGACATATCAGGCACATAACTACCTGCAGTGCTTTGTAAGGCCTTGTTTGTAAGTTACAAACATTTGTAGTCCATGCGTAATCATGAAGGCAGTCAGGGTAGGCTGTCTAAGATGGGCCTTGGTGTTCTCACATACATCAGTCAGAATCCTGGAGGCTGCATTTGGCATTGTCCAAAGCCTGCTGATGGTAACAGTATTGTATTATCTGAGGCAGTGAAGCACCACAAAAAGTAGACTGAAGTCCAGTCAATGCTGCAAGACACACAAGGATGTATCAGGACCTCAGCTTCAGCCAGAAAATGTCCATTTGTTTAAAGGAAGAAAAAGGCATGACATTTAACACATTTAAAATTGATTATTTCATCAATAGGTTAATAGAAAACCAGGCTGCAAGTTCACTCCTGCTTATACATCCATTCTCTAATGTGCGATTAGAGTATGAAAAATGAAAAACATAAAGCAGACTGGGAAAGGGGCTTTATGTACTGGAGACAGCCTCCCCTTTCAGAGGGGTGCTAAGTCTAGACTTCGCTATTTATATGCAAATTTTTTTCAGAAAAAGTAAGTTTTCAGCGGGGAGATTGACCCTCTTTAGTTGTTACTTCCTGCTCTGACTTGCTAAATGTCTCTTAAAACTAAAGGTTCATAATATTAAAGGGCACAGTAGACAGACACTTTTAGACTTGACCAACTTAAATGTATAGATAAATCTGACTGAATCAGTTGGTCTCCTGGATAATATTGTAGATTTTCATTTCAGTAATATATATTTTTAAAGTTAAGGGGATTGGTGACAGCAGTCAAGTGTCCAGATTTCCATTTTTTCCCTTATCAGTGCATAATATTAAACACTGAATGCCACTGCATTAAAAGAATGGATAGGTTGTTAACAGTCTAGGGTGTTTGGGTACTGCTCTTCAATTACAGCTGAATTGCCATTTTATAATAGTGTTTCTGGTTGCATGCAGATGGTAGTTATCATTCTCAATGCTGTACATGAGGAATTGTTCCAAATAGGCAACTTTCTAATACAGGTGGTAGGACAGGGTTTCTCCTTACAGCACGAAACTGAATTCACCATATGATCACATCACCTACTGTATGAATCATGTTATGTGCTCAATCTTCTGATTGAGCTACTTGTCCATTATGGGAAAACAAGTATTTTTCCATTCTTAGCCATTCAACTGAAGATACAGCTTTTTGTTAAACATTTGAATGAGTTAACAGTAATGTTACTTTTCCATATAAACAGTCTTTTGGTTGAAGCACTTCTTGGCATTCTAAAATACACATCTAGAAAAGAAAACAAGAAAAAGACTTTTTCAGAGTTTGCATATATTATTTGTTGTGAGCATATCATCTCAAAGATTGAAGGGGCATACTAGGCAGGAGTGGGAGAAACAATATATACACCTAATTATGACAGATTTGTTACCAACAGGTCCCCTGTTGACTGAGATGGTAGACTAACCAGTTCACTGCAATGCACCATCACAATTAACCTTGCAGTATTTGACAGCCTTAGACCAAGATTTGCATGAGGGAAGAGACTAGGTGGCATATAAGGCCTGCTGAAGTGTCTATCTGTTGGCACTTCTCTTATTCTCTCTTCTGTCTGGCTTGAAGATAGGTATGAGCTCTAATACTGCTGACAGCTGATGGAGGTTTGCCTTTATCACTGTTGTTAGTATTGTGAAGTCTGTTCTCCAAGCTGCATGTATACAGTTACCTGACAATCACAATGCCTGCTAAGTGGTGCAGCCATGAATTGCTGCTTTACCACCTCATCCTGAGAAGTGGCCCCAGTAGGTTACATTTGAGACCTATTTTGGGTTAGCGATGGGAAAGCTTGCTCTGCTACTGTCCATACATACTAGTTTGGTGGATAAATAACGGGTCGATTATCCAGTGTGTTAATGTTGGTTGTTGTTAAATGCCAACAGGGTGTCTGTGCCTGGTGTTGTTTTGAAAAGAAAGATACAGGCCATGCCCCATGAAATTGACTCTAAAAATATTGTTAGTCTAGTTTCAGAGTAGCGGCCGTGTTAGTCTGTATCCGCAAAAAGAAAAGGAGGACTTGTGGCACCTTAGAGACTAACAAATTTATTTGAGCATAAGCTTTCATGAGTCCTCCTTTTCTTTTTGTTAGTCTAGTGTATTTCTCATGCTTTCAATTAGCTTTTGGGGAGAAATATATAGATTCTGCTAAAAGACAGTGAGAGAATTAATTTCCCATAATGAGCAGAGGATTTAAGTGCTTTTTGTACAGTTCTGCCTATTAATGTCAAAAATGGGAGCTTGAAACAGAGAGATTTAAAAGTTTGATGTGATTCTAATACAGCAATGATGGCATTATGGTTTACCGTCCAAACAAGAATTTATACTTTGCCAGTAACCTGCCTCTGAAAAAACAAGATGTGCATAGTAACAGTTTCTACTTGATATTTATAATAATAATAATAATAAAGTAGAACAGCTAAGCATTACACTAGAAATAATGCTTATGGTGGTTTAGATTATTTGAACCTATTACCTATTACATCATCACCTGGAATTAAAGGTTTTACTGTTATAGGCATCTAGTGATTAGTGTACCCTCTTAGCAAAAGGGGAAATCCTTTGGTTGGCAATTCTTGCTATAAATTAAACAGCATTATACCTCAGTAGTTGTCTTGTCTCTAATAGTGCATCATGTATACAAGAAGCACTGAGTGCATTTTCTATTCCATTGTTCATTGCTATTTTAGATCCCATTACTACTGACAAGTCTTGTCATGTTGTAAAGTCTTGAAAGTATCTTTTTCAGTGGAAAAAAAAGGAGCAAGGCCTTCCATGTTGGTGGTGGTTCTGAGAAGCTGTGTTTGTGTTTGTCTATGTTGCTGCTTCACATATAACAGGCTTGTGCTGGTATTTTACTTCACATGCTACTTTGACATTTCTTTTCTCCCCTTTTTCATATTTTTCTTTTCTTTATATTTTATTATTTTCTCTCTTTTTTTTTTTCTTTCTCTTCCCCTTCTGCTCTCTGGATGCAGCCAAACGCAAAGCATGGAAACTAAACCGTGTTGGTAGCCTGCGAAATATATACAGCAGCAGCAGCACCAACACTGAAGGTAACAAATTAAAACAACACGTTTTAGATGAACACCTTTCCCTCTCTCCCCTTTATACCTGCCTCTCCAGACTTGCTCCCCTTTCCTCTCACTTTCCAAATGCAGGAATGGAAATCAAATTTGCCCAAAGCATGCGTGCTTTCATCTTTTGTTTGCAGAGTCATTCCCATGGTCTTTTCATCTTTTTGTTTGTGCGTTTTATTTTGCCATTCATGTTCCTTTCAGCTTACTTAAATTCTGACCTTTCCCTCTAGTCGTGGAGTGGTGATGTTTAAATTACTTCGGGAACCCATTTTCTTTTATTTATTTATTTTTCCCCTTTATACATGTGGGTACTCAATGTAATATTTCCCAAGTTATTACAGTTTTTAAAAGTGTTAGTATCAGGTGTAATGATCTGTAGCCAAATACAATAGTGTGCCGTGACATTTAAGTAACAGTCTTAATTTGTTTTGTGAAAGCGTTCTCCATAATGCTCTTTGCAGCTCTAATCCAAAGGCGAGACAGAGCCAGGTCATTTGCATGTGCTACTCTTGCTTGTAAATTCTGTATATTGTTGTATTTCTAAAGGTCGCCTGGTGCCAAAGTTCACAAATTGACTTACATTGCTTTTTTCACTGAAGACAGCCGTCATGCCTTTTGTATAATAGCAGATTGAATTTTTCCCCACCTTCATTTGAACAACACAATTATAAACTGTCTTCTTTTTTTTTATTATTACAAATGTCAGAGGTCAGAATTACTTGGAAGCCAGGCAAGGAGAAAAACCCTCGGCCACCATCTCAGACAGCGAGTAAGAGGGGATGGTATATGAAATATGGAATGCAAAATAGGTCACATCTCGGTAATCTTGATATTATAGGGGGGAAATCTTTTTTTCACTTAAGTGCAAACCAAATGGGTCAAGTAATCACAAGCGCATGCCCTAACGCTAATTGACTTATTTTGGAATGATTATAACTGTAATATTTTTCTTAATGTCACTGTTTTCTGGGCTGTTGATTTTAGCTATTGCCAAGTAGTGGCATTAAATCTCTTGTAAATTTTAAATTGCATGCTATTTCTGTAAACAAGTCCCTCTGTTCACATCCTGATCATTAACCTTTGGTGATTTATATCACCATCCTTTTTTTTGCACAATTACTACTGTATTCCTGTCTGATGCCTTGCTCTCACCGACGGATACAATGTGTCTGGGAAACAAAAGTGTGTTTTTTACTGCAGCTTGTTAAGGAAACACATTATATTATAATCTTGTTTTATTTCTCATTGGAAACTTAAAATTCTCACCTTTTAAGTAACAACAACAAAGCTATATCCATTGTGATACTTTTGTGTTACCTTTTAAAGCATTTAAGCACAGAGTGTGAAATGAATTGGAGAGAAATAAATACTAGTTGCTGAACATGAATAAATAAGCTTTTTGCTATTTAAAAGGAAACTTCCGAGATACTTTTTTGTAATTTGCAAAATGTGGGGGGTTTTTTCCTCACTGGTAATCTCTTTTAAACTTGTTATTTTCCCGGATCAAACATGCAGGCATGTTTGCTATTGTAGGGTGACTCTTGACAAACATGGGATTTACTGTTCTCTTTTTACTAAACTTTTAACAATAAAATAAATAGAAATAATTGCATATATTTTACAGAAAGGGAGTTCATATTTGGGGGCCTGTTCAATCTTAGGTGCCATTTAACATACTGATACGCATAAATTAATATGAAAGGTATGCTAGGGGTGTGTTCATCTGTGGGAGAACATAACTTTGAAAGTTGAACTCCTAAGACTTGCAACTAGCAGCACCAATGAGATTTTCTCTATCTTAACTAATTAGGCAAGGGACGGGGGGTGGTCTTTCTTGGAAGTACTCACCACATGGGAAAGAGAGTCCAGGAAATTTGTGAGTAATAATCGTGCATCTTTGAGCTATTAAACAAAGTCTGTGGATAATGGCTAGCATTGCAAAACTGGGGAATGCTCAGTAAATCAGGAGTGTACACAGTAGGAGTCTGTCACCTTGCGTCAGTGGGCCACAGCTGAAAATATCAGATTCAGGACAAACCGCTGAGAAATGGGGCAGACCTCCCTCCCCCCAACTGGTGGTTATTCCTTCATAAGATATACTAAGCCAATAACGAAAGTAAACTTCTATCTCACCACACTGGTTAACATGAAGTCAGAAATGCAGCCTCCTTGGCTATCCCAGCCCTTGTTTCACCATCCAGACACTATACTGAATGATGAGTGGTTATTTAAAACCAATTTCATCAAACAAAGGGTTCTTCTAATCCCAAGAGATCAGCCACATAGCCAGGTCAATATATAACTCAGATCTTACCCAATAATCATGCTGTTGCCAATCCTTTAGTATCTAATATCTAAAGGTTATTTATAAGAGGAAAGAAAGAGGAGAGAGTTATAATGGTCAAGGAAAACAAATACATACACTCATTGCAAAATTCTTGTATCAGGTTTGAAGCAGTGATGTTATAAACTGCTGGCTTGTTAAGTCTCTGGTAATTTCCAGAAGATTGAAAGGTTATCTTTGTCACCTTTGTCCGGCTTGTCCTTATCCGTCCTGCCACAAATGCAAGTCAACACCACACCATTCTGTTTTGTTGCGAGCATGTTCCTTCCATTTCTGGCCAATGAGCTTAGTCATGGTTTTGGCCCCGTGTGTTTTCGGTCTGCCCAGCAGTCACTTGTGGTCTCTGGGGATCCAGTCACTGATGATTGAAAGGTACTCAGTCCATTAGTAGAATGCTCCTGTTAATGTAATTCCATAGTCCAGAGATGAGAGCAGGAAAGAGGTAAAATGCAGATGCTTACAGGGTTTGTTATGCCTTCTCCCATGTGGAGGGACTGCTCTCAGTCTTAGTTTGTGGAAAATAACAGGCACAAGGAGTCGTCCACGGTCACATGAGCTGGTCACATACTCTTGCATGCTTCAGTGAGTCATGGAAACGGTCATTACTAGTATTCTGGCTAAAACTTCCCCAGGAAGGCCCATCAGGCACTAGGTGCGTTCCTCAGTAGTTTAAGTGTCCTTTAATGGGCCATCAGTTTGAATAGTCCATTCACAATGTGCTGGCCAAACTGGATGTAACTTACCTTGTGGGTGTTATCCCAGGAGCAAACACACGTGAAATACTAATACATAGTCAATATTCATAACTTTAGATACAAAGACGATACATACGTACAAATAGATAATCATATTTGATAGATTATAACTTTTCCATTGATACCTTACATGACATATTTCATATAAATTTGTTGTAATTACATAACATTGGTAGCAACGGTGATATACATCATCATATTTTAATCATACAACATCACAGAGCTCCATATTAACATAACTATGCTTTCAAAAAGGGAAATGGTAATAGGAAATGGCAATCCAAAATAGCAGATATGCTTTAGAATATGCCTGTTCAGTTGCGTTTAAACCTTTTTCATCTGGACACCCAAACGTTGGTTGCTACAACTTCCATAACCAATGGATCTCTCTGTGTTCTCCATACTATGGATCCCACCACTTTCCAAGCTTGCCCCAGGCTCACTCAAATGGTATGTATGTCTACACTGCAATCAGAGATTTGACTGCAGCACATGTAGACAGACTTGAGCTAGCTTTGATCTAGCTAACTCAAGTAACAATAGCAGTGAAGTCACAGCAACATGGGCTGTATAAGCCTGCCCAGATCCTTAAGTATGTAGTGAAGCGGCTAGTCCATTTTGCTATGCATGCCACTGTGCCCAAAAATTACAAGTATTCTGTTGGAACTCTTGCATCCACAAACTGACTAGACTCATCATTTCTTAACTGTGATCTTGTCAATATCCTAGCCCATGACAGCATGGATTTAGATTAGTGGTTTTCAACTTTTTTTTTCATTTGCAGACCCCCTAAAAAATTTCAAGTGTAGATGTGGACCCCTTTGGAAATTTTAGACGTAGTCTGCGACCCCCAAGCATCTGCGGACCACAATTGAAAACTAATAGACTGTTAATTTTTTGACATGCAGAGAAGTCCCATAGAGAAAGAGAGCTAGCAGGAGCTGGAACGAAGCCAGGTCTCACTCCCTAGGGTGTTACCGTTAGGTCACTAATACGTAATAGGTAATATATGCTAAAAGTGACCAGTGGAATCCCAGCAATTCAACATCCTTACACCCCAGGGCCCAAATTCCATCCTCATTTAGACTTGACCAACTATGCTGATTTCACTGGGAGTTCTGTGGATGTAATTGAGGGCAAAATTTGGACAATAGTACCTGTCCAAGTAATAAAAGGGACTAAATTTGTCTAACTTCTACAATCAGAAAAGAACAAAGCTGTTTAGACCAATAAGGTTGTCTGTGTTCAAGGAATTGCCCCCTTGCTCTTACCTGCAATTTAGTGAGACTCCCATTATATATTCATTCACTGATTTAGTTCTACGTTTGCAAGGCCATTATTAGGGTTTGCTGCAAACATTAGGTTTAAGATTTTATTCTACCATAGAGAAGTGACAAGTTGAATTCTTATTGTAGGCAAAGCAATGGTCACTCTGAGTGAAAGATCCAAAATGTTTAGAGGGGAAGGTATATAATATAAACTTGGTATGTTTATAAAAGACACCTGACCCCTCTCACCTTTGTGATTTCAATTATCGTAGTTATGCTGTTTAAATACAAATGTGATTTTTCAGAGATCAGCACATTTGGAGCATTGTACACTGGTGTAACTTTCTAAAATTAAAGAAACTGATGCTGTGTTTGCTCAGTATGCTATATTTAAACATCTATAATTATATCAAAACCACATTTCTTCTAGTCTTCATTCAGGACTGCATGCATGACAAGTTTTGAGTGTTAAACCCAAGTTGTATTTTAGTTACGAAGTATAAAAAAAATCTGAAAACATCTAATCGTATGAAAAAATGTGTCCATTAACTCCAAAATGCCTGAACAGATTTTTATGAAACAGTCTCTTTAAAAAAGTAATACAGAAGT